TTACATTAGAGGCTTGTGCACGTGACAACCAGGTTTTGGGGGTTGAATTAAGTTGACTTGTTTTCGTAATAGTAATTATTATTGAACTTTGCTTTATTTCCGCACTTTATCGAAATGATTGGGTTTAGGCTGACTTGTCTTGGTGGGATACGACGAGTACCATCACATCCATTTTTGGGTCGTGACATGAGGCAAAGAATTTTTGTATGTCTCCATCAATGAATTAGCCCAGATATATAGTGTGTTAATTTTCTCATTCAAATATTGTTATTGTACTTTTATTCAATCATTCTTGCTTTTGTTATCTGTCATTTGTTGTTTATTATGTTTATATTAACTCTTCGAAGCGAAAATTTTGAATTCATTACTACTTATATTGTAATTTTTATGAGTTTAAAGGTTAGATTGTTGGACTAATATGCTACTAACAATAACAGAGATGAGATATCATATTGAGGGCAAAAGTAAAAAAGAGCACTCTAAATTAGTGCAAAATCATTGGTTTTTAATGTTTGCCCTCAAATTTTGTGGTATTTAATTTTTTTCTTTTAAACATTTTTAAGTAAAAATTAAGTGATCAAAATACGTTGGACACCAAAGTAACAAATATTTTTTGTTCGATATAAATTTGTATTTTCATATCATGATATAATTACAGAACTTATGTCACTTAAGGCAAAAATTCAATTCAGAACCTACAAATTATGTCATGTTAAAAGCATAACTTATAGTAGTTTTTATAGAACTTTTGTTGAGCTAGACAAAAGCTCAATTTCAAAACCTTTTCGATATGCAATAAAATACTTATGTCGAACGAAGCAAAAATTCTCGAAGTTACTACCTCCGTTCATTTTTAATTGTCATAAATTTTATTTTAGAGTCAAGCATTAATAACTTTAACTAATATTTTACTATGTATTTTTTAATCATATTGATATGCAAAAAATTGGAATTTATAATACTTTTTATATAGTTTTTTAATATCTAAATTTTTTGTTTAAGATATTGAATTAATGTAATCTAATTCAACTATGAAAATTAGTATCTTTAATAATGTTTTTTTTTCCTTTTTACTTTTTTCATTTATATTTTCAAGAATCACCTTAGTTCTTTCCGCCGAGGAGAGCTTAAGGGATTTTCAGGTATAGGTTTCTCCGGCGAACTTTCCGGTGAGAGGAAAGGGAGTTTGGGGTTTAATTTTCTCCGGCGAATTTCCCGGTGAGAGGAAAAAGGGAACTGTTTCTGCAATCAACAGTATGCCAATCAAATGGTAAGGATTTTGAATTTCACTAAAAACTAACATTATTTGTAGATTTTGGTGTTAGATTAAGTAATTTAAGTGTACAATTTGTGTGTTGCTAGGGTTTTGCACTGGCAGCCAAATGCAGGGACAACAGTCAACACGCAAATACTGACAGAAGTATCTCAATGTGTTGAGAGCATTAATGGTGTTAAAGAAGGAAGGTGGAAAGATACTCTTAGTTTCTATAAACCCATGCTTAGAGGTATTTCATTGCTTAATAAACCATGTAGTTTAGTATCTTTGCATTTTTTTTTGTTATACCTGTGATTTACTAAGGGTGGTCTTTTTTAATTTGGATTCCTTAAAAAGATTGGATTTTTGGGAATGTTTCATCTTCTATAAAATTGAAATGATTTGAGTCAAGAATAGAGTAAAATGGTCGAGGAGGATTCATATAGCCGAGCCCAAGTTTGTATAGTTAATTGATTAATTGGGCGTCTTCTGTGTGGCAGCCTTTCGGGAGAGTGGTAACTCATAGAGGAAATTGGGTGGGGGTGGGGGCATTTGAACATTTACAGGGTAATTATATTACTAAAAATGAAGATTTGGGCAGGGATGTAAAGATTTACTGAGTGAACATTTTAAAAGAAAAGTTAGGACTCCCTTTGAGTTGAGCAGCCTCTAGTGAGGCCGAAAAAGGTGTCTTGTCCTTTGGCTTTTGGGAGAAAAACCCTGGCCTTTTAGGCTATATAACCGATGAACACATACATTGATATATATATGTTAGTATGAGTTTAAGATATTCATTTACAAGCTAGTTAGGCTTGCTTGATAATGCATATCTTGTGCACTAGTGTACCTGTTTCAATCTCGCATGTCATTTTCTTATAATCAAGAAATCTCTCGATTGGCCCGCTTGTCTACTTATCCAATTTAATACTTAGCTTTTGTCTGCGGCAAGCTTCAAACTGATGACGTACATCTAACTTACACATTATGCATTGCCCTCTTTCCAGAAAGCAACCTTGCATGACATTTTTTGTGGGTACTTTTGCACCTTAATAGGAGATTTGATAGTGGAGTGATTTTTTTTTTATTAGTCGAACAAGCAAATTCACTGGAGTTTCCCCGAGATTTTCTGGGGATTTCACTTCAAGAACAGCCCAACAAGTATTACATGGTAATTAGAGGGCAACGGTTGATCATTGAAGCAGAGTCATCAATTCAGACGATAATGGAGAAGTTGCAGTCATACAAAACGAGGGTTGCACTTAATTTTGAGGTTTGTATTACTGAGATCTGTAAATTATTGTTCTTACTGTAGGAAGATGATTAACTTATCTAGCTTTATCTACAACCTTGGCTTTGTTATGAGTGATATCATCTGCATGTATTGTGCTTCAATGCTTCGTGAAGATTGAAGAACCCTTTTTTTTTAATAAAGTAAGTGATATATAACATGAAGGGCATCAAGAAGAGGCAGAGGAATACAAAAGATGTGAGTTTGACATCTCATTTACAAATGAGTGCTACAAAAACTATAGAGCTGACAAAAAACAAGGAAAAACGTGCAACAAAACAAAAGAGCTAAGGAAATCCAAATGAAGAAGCCTATTAAAGTTGAAACCCAATCAAAACATCTGTTGTTCCTTTCGTTCCAAATACACCAAAAAATGCTAGCAGGTACCATATTCCAGATTTTCCTGATGGTACTGTCAACTTTCTTTGAGCTCCAGCTCACATAGGCATCTCTGACAGAGAAGGGCACAGCACAGTATAATCCAAAAATATTAAAGAACATGTGCCAGACATCTGAAGCTACTGGACAGTGGAGAAAAAGGTGGTTTATGGATTCTGAGGTTGACTGACATATGAAGCACTTGTTGTCCAACTGCAGACCCTTTTTAGATAGGTTTGTCTTGCATGAGGCAGGCATCCTTCAAGACCAACCAACTGAATCAGCACACTTTGGAAGGAAGTTTTGTTTTCCAAACTAGTTTCCAGGGGCATAAATTAATCAACATGCTGTTTGAGCACATATCAGCATAACCAACCTTGATAGAGTACATTCCACTCTTAGAGCTTTCCCATTTCATTTTGTCCTGTTGAGAGCTGGTAGTGCATCTTTCCAGTAGTTTCAGCATTTCCAAGTAACCCTGCAGTTTCCTTCTAAGAATTGGGCTCCATGTATTGCCTTCTCTGTTTCGTGCAACCTAAGAGTCTGGATTCCTTGCTATGAGAAAGAGATTTGGAAAAGCATCCTTAAGTATTGTACCCCCTGCCCATTTTTCAGTCCAAAACTTTGTGTTTGCCCCATCACCAATCTGAAAATAGACATCATTGGAGAGGGCTCCCCAAAGATTGTGAATGCTCTTCCATAATCCTGTGCCATGAGGTGTGCTAATAGCTTTAATGCACCAGTGACTGAATCTGCCATATTTTGCAATAATAATATCTTTCCATAAGGCAGCATCATCTTATGTAAACCTTCAATGACATTTCATCAACATGCTTTTGTTATTTAAGGGTAAGTCTTTGACCCCCAGTCCTCCCAATTGCTTTTGGAAGTGTAACTTAAGTTCATTTCACCAGGTAAATCTTGTGATTAGTGCCATTTGCTTTCCATAGAAGACCTTCCACACTTTTATATAACCATTTTACTTTATAAAAGAAGTGAAGATAGAAGAACTTCAAGATGATAATTGTTTAACAGGCTACATGTTGTTTCCTGAAATCATATATCAATCATAAAATAAAGTTTCAATTCTTATAGAGTTGTGTTATCCAGTTGGTTGGTCATTGGCCAACTATACTTTTTCAAACAGGACTCATTCATTTAAACTGGTCAAGTTTGTTCCTTGCAATACCAAAAGTATTATATGTTGTTGTGAAGGTTGCTTGCTATATCTATGGTGATTCTTAGAAGATATTTTTTGCAGACTTGTCATTGTTTGCCTTGCTTTGGTTTATCCTTCAAAATTCTAAAAAAGGACTTACTTAGCACTACTTCATAATACTCATTAGTGTATTTGACTTATATAGGGGTTTCAGTATCAACTTGGTGACTTTCAGCTGCGAGTGGGCAAAGTTGTTACAATACACTCTGAGAACTTGAGGGGAATAGTTATGGAGGTATGAATACCTTTAGATATTTCTTCTCAATTGAATGCTTGTCATGTGGTTAAGCCTTTTTTTTTCGAACATAACTATGTAGGATTTCTGTGATCTATTATGCTTTTAATTTTGCCTGTAGAGGAATTCATTTATTGAGCTTTACCTGGAAAAATAATCACTACGTGTATCCTTCTCTTAATGCTAAAAGATGTGACGTAAGCATATTTTCACATTAAAAGAAGCAGTGATGGAAAAAATGAAGGTACAATCAAATGGATAAGAATCAAGTCAATAGTCGGTGCCTCTAGGGGCAGCATGCTTTAGATATCACATGTGACACTGTGTGGGAACTATCTTGTTGTCCAGCTGACCCCAACTTTGAATAAGGAGAGTTGCTATAGATCGATGGCTAGTCTAGAAATAGTCAAATTATACTGATGTTCTTGAAATGCTGATAGAGACGATGATTATCTCATCAGTATGTACTGTTAGATGAACTGATGTTGCCTAGTTCTTAACTTTCCAGTGTGTTTCTCCACCTTGTCGTTGCATTGCAATGGTACTCCACAAATTTTAAGCTGTGTCTGTTATGAGCATCCTGGCCTCAATGTTTGTTTCTTTTGTAGATGGAGTATCTTCCGATTTCCTCATGGGAGACATCGCACCAAATTATGGGTGAATTCTTCGACATATGGCAAGAAGCTCTTGGAAAACGATCATTACCAGGTCATTTTGTGCACGTTGAACCAAATTTTTCAGAGTATGGTCTCTCTGATCAATACACTTCACAGCACACAGCTGTACAGTATGCTAGCATCATGGCTCAAATGATAGCAACTGCTCAATCATCACAACCAATGAGAAATTAGAAAGTAGCATAATGTTCTGTTGACAGTATAACATTTTGGCCTTGGTACCTGTTGTATTCTCAACACACAAAAACATTAAAAGAAACTGAAGTGTTCTGAAAACCAGGTAATTATGATGCTGCTACTGCTGCCTTATATAGAAAACCAACGTTAAAGACGGATCTACAAGTAGTAAGAAACTGAAGTGTTTCGTTGATTTTAACCTTGGCCTCAAACAGAATAGAGATTACTGATATCCAAGAGTGTGCTTTCTTAAAATTATGTTGTACTCTTTTTGTTCAGGAACAAATTCGGAATATGCAGATATATAGCTACTCCTTATATACATGCAACTAAAACCCAGAATCTCAGTACAGAGCAAGCTTAGAGCTAGTATGGTTTCAAATCAGTGTAATTTATTTTCCTTTTACTGCTGAGATGAAAGGGAAATGTGGGTTTTTGTCTGAAGAACTTTATGGACTTTGGAGAGTAAATGCTTTCTTCTTCAATCATTATTTTTTGCTCAAAAAGGATATATATTATACTTGTTAATTACTATTGAAAATTTTATGAAACTTGAATCATTTAAATTCCATCACCATTAAAGATGGCAATTGGCGGGTGGGACAGAGTGGGAAACTCATAAATAGGGTGGAGTATTACATATCTAAATACCCCAATTAGTCTCCATTGTGTCAGTTTAACACTTCAACTTAAGATGATCATCTAGACACCTCCCACAACACAATGGGAATGAGTTGGAGTGCTTACTTTTCAAATGCGGCCAATTATGCCAAATGATGAAAACTTTGCCTACATGTGTCTAGAACCATAAACTTAAAATCTTGAATACACCTTTTGATCTTTCGATGTCATCCAATATTGGACACATGGTCTTTGGGAAAACAACCTTGTAAGCTTTGGCTATGGCAATAAAATGACTAATTTACAGTGAAAGCAAATTGTTAGAACAGATTCATCCAAAAGAAACCTAATATAGGAAGAAAAGATATGAGATAAATAGTAGTGGAAAAAACTATACAAAGCTGAAAGTCTGAAAGATGAGCAAACGTCTGAGCTTAATCTGTACATGTGCAGATGGGACCATTAGGTTTTCCAAGAATGGTATTGCAAAAGATCTAAAAAGGAAGCTCCTGCTATGCACAAGGTCCGAGGAAGAGCCGAACCACAAGGATCTATTGTACACAGCAAAAGATCTAGCAGTTAGTCAGGCTGAACTATTCACGCATTTGAATCTTCAGTGTGGTAATTGTTTTCTGCAGTTCCAAGTTTGACATCCTCTCCAGCTCCAAAGCACGTTCGAGCTTTTATCCAGCCAAGAAAAAAAACATTTGGTGTAATAGAGGAAAAGGAAACGACAATATTATAGCAATGAACCATAAATAAGTACTACCTTAGCTGCTCGGCTGCTCCATTCTCCCAGAATAGCTCTGAGTCTCTCGTTTTCTTCTACATACTGTTTCAGAGAGAGAGAGAGAGATGTCATGCACCTTTCTTCGGAAAAAAGAAGCATGATCAAGCGAGACAGCGAGAGTCCAAATACTATACAAGACATACAATGAAGATAGAATAAACCTAGATGTGATCGACTAGGTGGTTGTTGTACAAGACTTGTGTAGCGGACCACATTTAACAATTTAGATATAACTTGCTATGACAGTTGAGAAACAACAAGCTAATTAACAGGGGAAGCAAAGAGACCAAAGAAATAAAGAAGAATGTGCTAAATCCTTTCAAAATGGTCCACTTTTATTCGGCCGATAAATGACTACATGAAAACTAATACTACAATGTAATTTTTTAACAAGTTCATTATTAATAGCAAATAAGTTCCAATTGCTTAAGGTTACTCGACTTTTAAAACACACCTGATTGTTTGCACTGCGAATACGCTGAATCTCGGCATCCTTCTCCTCTACAATAGATCGAGCAAGCCTCAGCTCAGATTGTAATTGATTCATCTGAAACCCACAAGTATTTAGTAGACGAGGTAAAAGGATAAAACAAGATGCGCTAGACTTCCAGTTTGAAGTGTGAAAAGAAATTTTATTCTAAATATAAAAACTTCTTCCACCACAATACAGACATACAATTGCACGTGCGCTGTTCAGAACCATAGGTCTGTTGGAAATGAAAAAGGACAAAACTGCATGTCACATATTACCTCAGCTTTGAGTGTACGTAACTCTTGATCTCGAGTTGCCAACAGGTGAGCAAGATCTACCTGGAAGAACCAAGACAAGTCGTTAACTTCATCACTTTCAAAACTTAATCCCAAATTCTAGTGATTAATGACTATTCAAGGTGGCTAATCTCATTATCAGCAGTCCCATATCATATGGTTATCAATTTTTCTATCAGACAAAAAAAATCGTGAGAGAATCATGAAGGATATGATTGCTAGTGTATGCGATATCGTTCTCAGCATCTATGACATGTTGTCTTTTTGAAAAAAAAATCCCCTTTTAGTTGCTACGAGATACTACTTGTTCAGTTCGTCAAAACTCATTGACATGAGTGATCAAAATGATAGGATTGGGGCCAAGCTTTAACGCCCCTACTAATAGGACAGAAAAGCTGGATGATCATCTTAAACAGACGAAGGTCACTAAGATCTTACAAGTTCATGTTTCTCAAGTTCTTCCATTTTCCCGTTTTATTTGTATAGCTTAAAACAATTAACTTGCCATGCAGCCCAACAAGTACATTTTGTTTCTTTCCAGGATAATACAGAAACAGCAACACAGTTTTGAACAGCAGAAACACATACCTGAGGTGCAGTCCCATCATTAGACCTTTCGAATTTGCTTAAGGTTTCTTGCAGTCTAAGAATCTAGAAGAAAAAGGATTAAATTAACTCGAGAAAAGAAAGAAAAATTTCCATAAGAAACAATCAGGATTAAAATCCATTTGTTCATAAGAGATATATACATCCTGAAGAGACAAGACGTAAAAATGTCTAGACGTGTACTTTCTTTCCAAGAAAAGCAGGTCATTCTTAACTTATACTAATAAATATACTTCTATGTGTTATTAATTACTACTTGATTTACCAACTAATATAGAGCAGCCCAAAGTCCAGTTTCTACATCCTTCCCAACCCCCAAAAAGTTTGAGAAGCATATTGCCAGCGAGATCTTGGAGTTTCTTATAACTGCTTACCTCCTCACCCAAAAAGTGTATATTTTCTTGCTGATATTGCAACAACGCCATCTGCTGATCTGACAGTCGACCACCGTCCTGGTATCTGTACAACAGAAGGCTCTTAGCAAAATCATCATTTTATCATCTAGAAGCAGTGGTGAAAAAATATCTAGAAGCATTGAAGCTTTCTTCTATCTCTTCTCAAAAGTCCTATCTGAGGGCAATAAAGATAGTTGCAATGACATGATAAAAGTACAAATCCCTGTTGCATATAATGATTGGTTTGGGAAAGACAAAAAAATACTTGGGATTTATTATTTTAGCATCAGTTATTCCTCTCAAGGCCTCCCACTTCCCCAACTGCCAAATGCTTGATCATATCAGAGATCAAATAAGATATCATGTCGCAAAAACACGTAGTAGTTACTAACTATATCTCATTAAACATGAACTCAAACAAAGATGACAATATTGTCAATCCCAATTTGTTTGACCCAACTCAGTTTTGGTCATTCCAAATCATTTTACCCCTTCCTCTAATGCAAAGATCCCCACCATCAAGATCTACACTTGCCATAAAATAAATACTTCTTTATATTCTTATAGCTTTGATATCACATTTTTCAAGAAAATTCCCCACTTCCCCAGTTTTCAACTACACACCTCTAACAAACTGCAATTAACAAAACCTAGTAAAGCTTTTCAGAGTTATCTATATAGGGACTAGGAGAGTAATTTGACTTGCCAAACACATTGCAGTTTTTGTTTCCTTGTCAAGTAGAGTAGAGCATAATTTTTTGATACATTTACAGACTCAAAAAGAGAAGTGTGTTGAAGTCATTTTTTAATTAAAATAATAGACTAAAAAAGCACAGAAATTACACCCACATTGCACCTTGTTGTAAATAGAATCATGGAAGAGCCCTCCATTATCCTATACAAATTTAGGGCCTGATTGGATGGCCACCTTGTAATTGAATTAGGGCGTAATTGGGTGTAATTACCCTTTTAACGACTGGCCAAGTAATTACTTCGTCAGCATGGAATTGGGTGTAGTTGAGGGGAGTAATTACAGTTTCCAGTTCTCAAGAGGAGCAAAGAATTGGAAGTAATTACAAAGTCTAATTACCAGATGGCTTTTCAAATTCTTTCTTTTTTCATTTTTAATATTTCTTATACACATATATGTTGTCACACATTAAAACTCATTTACATGTTCATATGAAAAAAATAAATTACAATTAAATTTTATTGAAAATAAAAGAATATTCAACTACGTAATTACATGCAACCAAACATGAGATTGAGTATCACCCTGTAATTACTATATTGTGTAGCTATTAGGTTGTGTGATTACTAGTTTTCAAACGGCCATGTAATCAGATAGTGTTTTCAAGCATGCCCTAAAGGTAAAGTAATAGTCACCCAATTATTGGACAAAATGTTTCTCCATAATCAGACTGTAAACCTGAGAGGTACCTCAAACCTTCCAGAGAACTTGATGGTTGAAGTGGAGAATAAAGTGACTTTAAAACATCGGGCTGGGAATCCAATGGTTTTAGACCCGGAGTTGGTTACCGGGTTCAATCGAGTCGGGTTGGGCTAGTTTGGATACTTGATGTAGAGGTCATGCAATTAGAGCCGTCAATATGGGCTAGGCCCGATGGGCCGGCCTGGCCTAACCCGTGATTTGTTAGGGTTGGATTACGATTTTTGTAGCCCATTTAAGAAAAGGGTTTTTTAGCCCGGCCTGAATAATATTTATCATTAATTGTACTGGTGAACGCAACCTGAAGAGAGTAGAAGGTTTAATTGACTTTATTTTGCATCTGCACTTTCTAATAATATAGAACAGGTTAGAATTTCTAATAGGTCATTTAAAAGACAGAAAAACTATTTTCAAATTCTCAAACATGAAGATGCTTTATGTTTTAACATCATCTCTCAAGCATGCAATTCAGTAGGAGTCTTCTCTAGACGGTTTAGGGGTTTAAAAATGATGAAATTTTACCAAGGAAATTGACTTTTGTTAAAAGCAACCCCTAAAGGAGGTTACTCACCAATATAGACTGTCATGAAAGAACTAACACATACTACTTCCGTCAGCATGACGATCCTACAAAAATGAAGCAAGTTCAGAAAACATCACAAAGAATAAATATATAAACTTCAATACCACAGTTATAGCCCACGCAACCTCCAACTTTGCATGTAACTAAAGGAACAGAAATGTGATCAGATATATATACACATCCTTGAGGTCCTACTATTTTGATAATTGTAAAGCCTAGGCAGCCTTTACATTGAGCCTGAACCAGTGAAACCTTCAAGCTCTTTCTTCTTCCACCCATGAATGACAACTTTAAGGATTTAGATGAACTTATATTTGGGGAACTAAGATCAAGTTCATGTGCCACATCCACCCCACCAATCTGACATTTTTGGTCCTAATTTTTCGTGGATTCAACAGAACATATTGATATATGATATATCAAATCCACCTCAACTGTTTTCAGTCCTTGAAGTGGATATCTCTAAACCAAAGCGAGAACGGCAGCTGTTTAGAATTTACCCTGCCTCATTACACTCTTCATCTGTGCAAATCTGGAAAATGTGTCTCTATTACTAAAAAAATCACATTCATCTGCTTTCAGTCCTTGAGGTGGAGCTCTCTAAACTAAAGTGAAAACGGCAGCAACTTATATTTTACCATCTTCCTCATTACACTGTACATTTGTGAGAGTTTTTTGGGAAATACCGTTACTTGAAAATTTCAGGTTGTATAGTTAAGATGTTTCTTTTTTAATTCTTATTTCAAAACAAAGCAAATTAAAATAAGAATTAGAGAGATTCAGTTCCTTTACCTTTTTCATGTTAGAACCTGGCGGCCAATACTTAAAGCTCCAAGAAAGTCCCATATATGACTCCTTGAGAGTCTCATTTTCCTCGTCTACAACTTATCTATGGATAGTAAATAAAGTTATTATTCCCCATCATACTTCCATATTTTAAGTTTCTTCACCTATCCAAACTTGAAATCCTAAAGATTTTTTATTTTTTTTTGAAAAGGTAACTTGAAATCCTAAAGATTTTGAAGAGCTTTTTATAAATTTTATCCTCAAAACCACCTCTCTGACTTGAATGCTACCTCGCCTAAAAGTGTCTAGCATAACTTAGATTTAACATTTATGTTTTGCTAAAAGATAGCTGTATCATAGAATACCTAGATAAAGATATAATTTACTAATGCATAATACATCAGAAATTATCCTCAAATTAAGAAGGAAAAAGTCCCCCGGGACCATTTCAATACTGAAAGTTGCTAAATAAACATCTCTTTATGCAAGGAGCTGCACAGAATTAAGAAAATCGATGCAGTCAATTTCTTGGAATGTAAACCTGAATAGTGTCAACATAGAGAGGATGCCAATATGTGGGTCCCAAACCATGACAAGCAGCATCGCAGCGGTTCCTGTAATTGAAATGTTTCAAATGGATATTCATTTTAAAAGAAACAAAAGGAAAATAATTCTTACTTTTTAAAACAATTACGGAAGCAACTTAGAATTAAACTAGTTAGTTGTTCCTGGAGTATTATTCAAATAACAGACGAATCTGAGAAGAAATTACAACAGTACAGCTTTCTTTAAAAAGAAAAAAAATAATGGTCTTAGCTTGTTTCATGCACACATTTTGATCTCTTGAATATTAGTATCTTTTAAGCACGGTGTTCATTAATTACTTCACACTCAGATTTATCAGCTTCTCTTTTCCCTTATGGGAGCTATAGTGGAGGATTGAGAAGGTCCAAGATCAGATCCTCATGTGCAAATTAACAGATCATACATAGAAAATAATTGTAATTTCTGTAAGAAAATAGCAGAGATGCAATTCACTTATAGCAGATTAGTTGGCATGATAGGTGATTTCTTCCCATCTGCCTAAGTCTTGTGGCAAAGTTAAACCAACAATTGTGTTGGTGGGAGGTAGCAAGTCCCGGTGGAATAGTTGAGTTGCACACAAGCTGGCCCAGACACCACCGTCATAAGGAAAATAGTTGAAAACTAACAGCAAGATTTGATTTGACCACAGATTTGTGGTAGAGATGATCAAAACTAATTGAGAAAAAGGATAGTAAAAGAAAATACTGCCGCATAAACTAGAGAATCAGGTAATGCATACCATATGCGATTGTAGCAAATGGTAGGCGAATAATATGCTTCAGTTTCTGGCTGAAAATATAGTACCCCTACAAAATTAAAGTTCATATTATTGCAAATATTAGAAATTGTTGTTTATAGAACATATGATTTTGAATGAAGACGCTAAAATGAAGATGATCTATATTGATAGCTGATATATATCAGTAAATTCTATTTCCCATCCAAGTAAAGTTGCCAGAAGTCTTTCATTCAACAAAAAAGAAAGATATCAGGAACCCTGAGAATATGTATCTGAATTGTAGAGCAGAGAAGTTGCCAACTCGCTTAACTGAATTTCGTTACTTTGTACCCACAGAATAGAAAGGAGAAAGAAAACAAATAGCAAAAGTTTGAAATCCATATGCGACTCAATTCTTCCCTCTGCTTAAAAAGTACAATTCATGATTTCCTAGATCCATTTTCAAGGTCTTAGGCCCTCCTACAATTTGCCTCCAGTGAGATTATGCTCTACCTCATTTGGGAAACCTTTAGTTCCATACAGTTTGTAAATCAGGTTCTTTGACCATACTGATCTGTTTCTCCAGCTTACTGGTACCACCCACTTTGGACACCCAACAGAGTGCATACTAAGGAATGACACTTGAATAATATGATTTTTTCGGCACCATAACATCATTAATATGCCAAAGACCCCACAAGTAGATGATTTCTACCAAGATTATATACAAGGAGAGAATCTTTTTTTTTTTTTGATAACAAAGTATAGATAAGGAGAGATTTTTAACTCCATGTTTTCTTCTGAGCACATGTCACAAGAGAAGGGAGAGGAGAAGGGTGAGGTATGGATGAAAGTTATGTCAATGAGGTCATATATTCATTTATAGCTAAGAAAACTTGAAATTGCCCTTCCAGTGTTGTTTTTAACTCTCTTCCCCAATAACTTTCATCTCAAGCTACATATTGAAAGAATAATATTTATCATTAATGGCCATTTCAACAACAAAACCTTGATCTCAAGCTAGTTGGGCTCCATACATATTATAATCATGAAAAATAGTAAAAATACTGACCTGTAACCGTATTTTCTTGACTTGATAGACCAAATATTGCTGAAAAATGCCTACAGAGGGAAGTCACATGCTGGAAAAATTAGAGCTATAGAGGGAAGTCATATGCTGGAAAAATACAATGATATGCAGGAGATTTAAATCTTATGATTTGCTGAAAGCATACGAAAGAAGACAGAGAATGCGCACCTGTGACAACAAGGAGGGCAACATTACAGCTGCAAAGAAGTGGGAACACTAATCCTTTTATCGGGTGAAATATCCATGTAGCTCCCACCGCCAAAACAGCAAAGCCTGCCTACAATTTGTCATAATTAGTTCACCTAGAAGGTGGCTAAATTTGCATCTTTGTCACAGCCACCAAGAATTCATGAACTGATACTTGCCAATAAGAAACAGTAGAAAATACTCCCAATGAGGCTCGTAGGCTTCCTATGACCGGATAGAGGTGCTTCATGCAGTACGTCCACAAACCTACAGTTGAATAAGCAGCATAATTAGTAATTAGAAAGAGAAGTTGAAGTATTAAGTCAAAACAGGAACAACCTATTGTTTAGTCTCATCATTTAACTTGAATAGTCATATGATTCCCAAGAGACATCTCTACTTTGCTTACACACAATTGTATACCATCCTAGTTCACCCCCTCCATTCCTTTAATTTATTCAATTCCTTAGGGATACTCTCAAAAATTACAGCCGCTTAGTGTCTAGGTTCAGACTTCAAAAATCATTAGAGTATAGTCACTCAGAGAATTACAAGAAAATCATTAATATTTGGAAGGAGCTCATATAAGAAACTCAAATCAACTATACCTCAATCCCAAATTGGTTGGGATGGACTATATGAGTCCTCTGTATCCATGTTATTCTATTTAGACCATTCCATTCCAAGCCAATGTTGCACATACCTAGTTGGCAACATCCAACAAATTAGTATTGGAGGATTTAACATGGGAAGAAAATAGAAATCACCAATTCTCTCTGTCTCATTAAATGTGGCATACTTCTCATTTATGTGATAGACTTTCTTTTTAAGTTTGTCCCTGAACGAATGACAACTTTCTGTATGTATAACCAATTTAACTTTAAATTTCACACTTTACCCTAAATGAGATGATTTATAGTCATCCCACTTGCTGGGACTACACTGGGTATGACAATATGTTGTTGTTGTTGTTGTTGTTGAGATGATTTCTAGTCACACAAATGTGTTTGGTTTTAAACCATAAGATTCGAAAGTCTTTAGTTTTTTCTTAAACTTCATTCCTATCAAACACCGCCATATAAATTGAAATGGAAGGAGTAATATTTTCCGTCAGTTGACCACGAAATACTCTATTGGAAATACCCTCTCTACCTTTATAAGGTAGGGGTAAGGTTGCATACACACCACCCTTCCCAGACCCAACTAATGAAATTACACTAGGTATATTGTTGTTGCTGTTAGTTCAACACGAATTACAATAGCGCCTTTGCAAATTGCTTCCGAATCAACATGAGCACACCTTGATTAGTTTACTAGGTAGAGGTTATCTTTTTTCTTAATGAATACTAGGTAGATGTTATCTTCAATCAACACAAGTATTGGGTAACTCTACCCATCAAGGTATAATTAGCCGGAGGAGTACACCTAGTGTCGCATCTGCAAGGATTCCAGCTTGATCCCAACTCCCAAGGTTATTACTCCATCTCTTCAACCACTAGGAATCCCTTATGGATAATGTTACAGTCTGAATCAGAGAACTCAACCCAAAAGACTACCTATTAGATGGGAGAGTTCATTGAGCCTATAAATTCATTACTATGTCTCTGTTTAATCAATGAGGAACAATTGACACACGACAATTCTCCTTGCTTGAGGACCAACGACTTTGTTGATCATGACTGGCACCACTTCTTTTTAATCCAGGCTGGCACTCTTAGAACCCCTCTGGCCAAGTTGGTCACGACTGGCATCTCATTCCTTTTTTCCTTATTGCGCTCAGTTGATCACAACCGGCACCCCACTTGGATCTAGGCTACCACTGCTGGCACTCTACTAGTTGGTCACATCTGGCACCCTTCTAGATCGATACCCACTCTCAGTGGTCTATTAGGCCATCACTTCGAGTCTCAGTCTCAAGCATTAATTGACCTGTCCTAATATCAATTGTTGTAGACTGACAGGAGAGCGCAATCCAAAAGACTAGATTATTAGGTGGAAGATGTCCATTCAACATAAAAAAATCATTACTATTTCTCTTATAATACATAGATGGTGATAGTTCAGGTAGGAAAAGAAAAAGGGAACAACCGATTGTTGAAGTGTGAAACTCGCGAAAAAAGTGATAGTTCACGTGTTTTTGTCCATTATCTCTCAAATTAACTTGGAAGTAAAAAGATCAAAACTTTGGAACAGAATTGCGTCATTTTGAGGATTTGGGCAATGTAAATAGTTCTGGTGTTGTAAACTGTGTTACATGCCAGTGGATTTGTAACTTTGGGTTTTGGTACCTTCTTGGTACTTAGTTAATAAACCTTTACCTTATCAAAAGAAAAAAACTGTGTCACATGCCAGTGGAATTGTACTACTTGGTAAAATGTGGATCTGACAAGCAGAGAACTTGTGGGATGAAGTTATATGATTGTGATGCTTGCAATTGAAAGTTGTTTTGTCTTAGAAATTGCTTTTTCTATATATTAGTAGTAGTGTTTCTCTTCTTCTGATTCTTACAAAAAAAAAGGTATATATGAGTTTACTCCGTATAGGTGCAGTCAGTAAGTAGTCATTGCACTTAAAACTACTTGTCTAATGTCTGTGTTGAATCGAATTATATATGAGTTTCCTACCATTTCAGAAGAATGTGATTTATGGGCCAGTGAGTTTTATGGAAAAAAAAAGTTCTTTAATATGCCAGAAGCTACCTAATTTTTTGCGAGGAAATGTGGCTTAGAAAAGGTACGAGACTATTCTATTGAAGGTCTCGTAGTTTCTTATTCTTCAATTACTGTGTTGTTTCTTGTCTTCATTTATCACATTAGTCTACTATGTATGGTGTATTACACTTTCTCTATTATTTGTCAAGCCTTGTCTACCTTTGTAGTGTCTTTTTAAAACTGCCTTGTCATGTATCACTCGAGCCAAGGGTCTTTCGAAAACAAACCTCTCTATCTCTACAAGGTGGCAATAAAATTTGCATATACTCTACCCTCCCCAGACCCATTCATGAAAATACATTGGATATATAGTAATTGTTGTTGAGTGCCAATTGACACACAACGAGTCACCCCTTGGAAAACTATCATAACGACGCCCTTCACTTCCCAAAATCAAGGTTTCCTCAACCAAATTACAGTCCCCCTTTCAACCAGTTCAAATCCCTAATTTCATTTTTCTAAAAAAACGAATATGATCCCCAAAAATGAAATAGTACAAGTATTTTAGTGATTTTTTAGGTTGTTGAGCTAGAAAATGATGAATTACTAAATTACAAAGCATTTACTTAGCAGATAATTAACAAAATATGATATATTTGAAATTCCAAGTACAAATTACAATCAGTATAATAAATTGGAGGATTTTTTTGCACTTACAGACTGTTTTCGTCTGGTGATTCTGAAATTAAAGAAGAATGTATTTCTGTTGACATCTTCTTCTTCGTCGTCTTCGTCTTCGTCTAGCTCGAACGATTTTTTGCCTTCATAATATTTACAGTTTCTTCAAAAACCATTTCGCAGACCTTGAAAATGACAAAAATGTGAAACCAAACCAAACTGAAATAAACTCGGTTTGGTTCGGTTATTACAATTTCGGTTCGGTTTATTTCGGTTTGATTTTCGGTTTAACCAAATTTAATTAACAGTGGCCTGTGGTTGTGGGCTGTGGCATCAGGCATGGCCATAAGCAAAGCAGTATTATGAACATTGCAATTCACATTTGTGCTTGTTAAATTAACGCTAGAGAAATGACCAAATTAATAACTAGCACTTGGAAAAGTAAGTACCGTTCATGAGCTCGTTGTTTACAAAGGGCAGAGGGGTATCATGTTATTCATGTGGCATCTGGATAATTTTTAGTACAGTGAAAAAAAAAAGGCTTCAGAAGTGCAGGTATTGAAAAAAAAAGCTTCAGAAATCAGAAGTGCAGACTTCAAAAGTGCAGGAATTTAACATGTATTGAAAATTTGAAGCAACTCAACAAGTGCAGGACACAACTCACAGTCACAAGTCTGTCACAACTTTTGTGACTTGTGAGCACAACAAGTGCATATTCTCATCAACATTAACAAACTACCATATTATCGACTAAAATATCCAAACATTTAACATGTTCAAGGAGCAGACAAATTCTTTTCAACTGCAAGTCTGAAACACCACTTTTCACTTTCTTATGCAATTTGAGAGGTCTATTGTAGATGGAATAGAAATCTATTTATCTCTCTGAAACCTAATTATTGAAACAGACATGAATAAAACACTCATAAACAAACATGGACAGAGCCTGAAGGAATGATCACACCGCGTAAGTAGTAACTGAGAGTTGAGAGACGAGAGTTGACTGACGAGTGATGATAGTTGATAGTTGATAGTTGAGAGTTCAGAGGTGAGAGATGAGAGATGAGAGTTGTGGCGTATGTTGACTGTTTCGAGATGAGAGACGAGTTAGACGACTGATTTTAGGGAAATTAGTTTTTAGGGATTTCTGATTTTTTTTATTGGAATTTGGGCTGGGCATGGGCTGAGAATTAAGGTTGTGGGCTATCAGCTATGGGCCGGCTGGAGCCTGGACATGGGCTGAGATTTTAATTAAGGGGTAAAGAATATATACATATAATTTCGGTTTTTCGGTTAACCGAATTTTTTAAGCTAAAAACCGAAAAACTGAAATATTAAAAACTGAAACCGAAACCAACCGAAAAACCGAAACCGAAATTTAAAAAAAATCGGTTCGGTCGGTTTTTTCGGTTTTAACCATATTATGCCCAGCCCTAAGTGTAGTTAAGTAATTTGTCCTTTAAATAACAAGATTCTAAATTCAAAATCTGTTTAAAGTTTGGAATATTACAATTTAAATAAAAATTATGTTTATAAAATATGTACTACATAAAATAAAAATTTCCTAAAATTTCTAGGGAATCACTACATAGGCCGTAGCCTATGCAATATTGTCATAGTTTTTGTGTTTTATTATGATCATTGGAAAACAATTAAGTTAATATTTATATTTAGTTATTTATGTTTTTACTTGAAATCAAACTTAATAAATATTATAAAGATAATTTTATTTGTGGATTTGACTAACAAGTAGTAACACTTGCCCCATATAATATTGTCTTGTCGATATTTATGATCATATTTTTAAATTATAATTTAATTTTAAAAATTATAATATATATATATAAGAAAAGAGGGCTTGCCCGACAAAGCCCGTAGCCCACGTACTTGTGGGTTGGACCGACTATTTTCTGGCCCACATCGAAAATAGGCTAGCCTGGCCTGACCCGTCAAATTTCAAAGCATGTATGGATTAGTCCGGATGGGGTGGGCCAACCCATATTGACAACTCTACATGTGATACTATCTATCTTGATTGTTTATGGGTTATTGGTTAGAAATTTAGAATCGAATGAATCTGGTGTAGATAAGCTATTTAACTAAGTTTTGCTCTATTTTAGAGGATTTATTTGGTCCAAATAAAAAATGATAGATTAAAATTAGATATCTGATAGACTCGTTAAACAATTATAGTATGTCAAATTTTAGAAATGTAATAAATCAAAAATAGAAAAAATTGTAATATAAATAAACTAAAATAGTAAATAAAAGGATATAAGAAATGTACATCCAAATACGAGCTCTTGTTAAGTTTTATGGTAATTCTCGTTAAATCTAACTATCATGATTTATTAGTATAAAAAAACATTTACTTTAATAAATATAATAGACAAAACTATTCAAAATTATATTTACATGATCATTTTAAACATATTCTAGACACAAGGGACTATTTTTGTTCTTTTTTCTTTTATAAATTATTTTTAGAGTCATTTTTCATGTTTTATTTACTTCTTTTTTTAAATAGTAAAAATCAATCAAAACTCTTTACCCTATTCAGACAAACAAAAATATGTCAATAAGAGAAAGGCACATGCATGCAAATGCAATCAGTAGGATGTCACATTCAAATATCGAATTTATCTAAATTCAATGTATAATATAAATTTATATATATAAACAATTCATTAGGATTTACTATTATTACTACTATATATATATAAGAGACTAGGAAGCACACAAGTGTTGGACGACATGTGTGCTTCCTTGCCAAGGGTATTTTTGATTTTTGCACAATGTTTATGCTTAAATAATGTTGTACTTGCTTATTTTATAATTATACCTTTAATTATTGGACAATTTAACCCAGCTATTACTTATCTCTCAGCCGAAATGTTAGACTTTCATTTAGGCACATTTACTTTTCCTCATCTCGTGTGTTTTCTGATTTTCATTTATCATGCGTTTTCAATATATGTTTTGTATCTAATTCTTTTGGTCCAAATATAAAATGATAGATTAAAATTAGATTTCTGATAGACTCGTTAAACAATTATAGTATGTCAAATTTTAGAAATGTAATAAACAAAAATAGAAAAAATTGTAATATAAATAAACTAAAATAGTAAATAAAAGGATATAAGAAATGTACATCCAAATACGAGCTCTTGTTAAGTTTTATGGTAATTCTTGTTAAATCTAACTATCAGGATTTATTAGTATAAAAACATTTACTTTAATAAATATAATAGACAAAACTATTCAAAATTATATTTACATGATCATTTTAAACATATTCTAGACACAAGGGACTATTTTTGTTCTTTTTTCTTTTATGTATATATACATTTGATTGGTTAGTGTTTTTTTTCACTGTCAAACCACAACGAATCAATAAAAACAAGTTTTTTAATTTTCTCAGTTTTTTTTAAGTTCCATTTGAAACATGTTACACTGAAATTAAATTATTATTTTTATGAAATATGACGCAAATGTCACTATTTCATACAATTATATCTACTTCAATTTATTATAAATAATTATATAAACACTATCATTTTAACGCATAAACAAGGAAAACAATATTTTGTATATACAACTATTAATATATATATATATATATAATATATATTTCCCATTTTTGTGGCATTATGGTTGATAGTTTTTTATATAACGAGTTGATTGACTATCTAAACTTTTATTTCGTAGATGAAGGTTTTATTCTTCATTTTGTAATTTTCTCCTCCATTTTTTATTCTCATATTTTTATGTAATTTAAAAAATTTAAAAATAATATATTTGTTAACTATCAATTATGAAAAAAATAAATATACGAATTATATAAAAAAAATTGAATAGATAAAATTCATAACTTAAAATTGATCTGAAATATTAGAGGAATGAAGAATAAAAGATTTTTTTATAAAAAAAAAAAGGGAAAAGAAAAGAAATGGACAAGTGTACGAATGTGGAGTAAAATGTATGGGAAAAGGAATAACAATGTAAAATAAAACGAATAGGACCCACATATTTTTTTGTTCATAAATTAAGTAAGACAGGAGAGAGAAACAACAATATTGAATAAGAAAGGTGGGGCGTACATATTTTTTTAATTTAAAAATAATGCCTCACATATCAAGTCATATTTGTGCGTCTTCCGCCATAAAATTTGTCTATGTTTTGTATCTAATTCTTTTGTTCAACATGTTATACTTCTTGAAATTTAACTACTATATTTATTATATTTTAACTACAAAATATATTAGAGGTACAACCTTCTTTTTTTTTAAAAAAAATATTTAGTTGGCTCTTAAAATTTTATCATTGTTATATGAATTGGAACAAATGAAATAATATATATTATTATTAAAATTACATAAAAGATGTTATAAATCACAATAATTAACAATTGAAAATATTATAGAAATTTGGTTGACTAATTGAAATAGAAGAAGTAACATATATTATTTGAAAATAACGTCAAAAGTTCTAGAATTTCGCAGTAAATTAACAACTGAAAATATTTATGATTATTCACGTGAATTGAAACAGAAGTAACATATATTATTTAAAAATGACGCAAAAAATACTATAAATCAAAACAAATTAATAACTTCAAATATATTTTTAATAAAACATATAATTTTTTTTGATTGATTCTTCAAAATTCCTTTATATCACATAAATTTGAGGGAAAAAATAGTAACATATATATTTGGGCATGTGCTGGCATGGCATCAAATATCTAGTATAATAATAATATGCTTGAGTTCATAAGTTGAAAAATACAACAAATTTCATGCTAGAAATTGTATAGATTAAATTCATAAAATAAAAATACAACATGCGTGTTCAATGCTTAATGAGATCAGTACACTAGATATGTTGTTGCAGCAAATAGTAGATTAGAATTCATAATATTAAAAAAACAATATGCGTGTTCAATGCTTACTAAGAACCTTAAAGATAGAGTTTACATTCTGAATTCATCTTCGAACATCGTAAAAATCAAGAAGGATAAGCTTGAATAACAGATTGAACAGCATTAATGTGACTAATTGTGTGTCTATTAAATCCAGCTTCATTCAAAACATAAGCCCATTCTTTAGAAGTTCTCTCTTTTCCATTGGTTGTGTGAGCCATCATCACCATATCCAACATTAAACCATCTTTGAGCTTCTCATTATTTGATCCTCTAATAATACTTTCTTCTTTTTCACCAACTATTGCTTCCAATATTATCACTTTCCCATTGTCTTGTGGAATTGCTTCTCTACACTTTGTTAATATTTGTATGCATTCTTCATCACTCCAATCATGTAAAACCCACTAATATACATAACATATACAACAATATACATGAGGTTATGAAAATTAATAAAACAAAATTGAATATAAGAAAATACTTTCCTAATAAATTAAAAATGACTAGAATTTCTGATAAATTCTGTCAAATATTAGCTCGTACGAAACATTTACGATCGACTTTCAATTAAAAATCTGAGTGATGAATCTTTTGGAAACAGTCTCTCTACCTTCACGAGGTATGAGTAAGGTATGTGTACACTTTATCCTCCTTAGACCCTAGCTATGGGATTGGAGAGGGTTTGTTATTGTTGTTGTTGTTTGTTGTTTCAATCAAAAATGTCTTTAACGGTGAGATTTTCGTCAATATTTGTGTAAGGTTAATAGAAATAAAGATAATTTCCCACCAATACAATTACTTCAACACATATACATAAAGTTATGCAAAAATACTATTTAACTAAAGCGAATTTCGTTCAAAATGTTTTTAACAGACAATTCATCGGAAATCCAGTAAACACTATTTTTTTTTAAAATAACTTTTTTATTAAATTCGTTTGAAATTGGCTCGTCAATAATGTTTCCGACATGCTTTTCATAGAAAATCTCTCAACGATAAGCTATTTTTTTACGAATGTCCATTAAAAACTTGTAAATAGAAATAATAGTATAAAATATATCAGTGGACAACTTTAGACCTACTCTCAAAACACAAGGGACCATTCCATATTTGTCCTTTTTCCCTTTTTTAAAATAGTAAAAAACGATCAAACTCTATACCCTTTTCGAACAAACAAAAAAATGTCAATAAGAGAATGGCACATGCATGCAAATGCAATCAGTAGGATGTCACATTCAAATATAAAATTTATCTAAGTTCAATGTAAAATGCGAATTTATATATATGAATCCATTAGGATTATAATAATAATATGCTCGAATTCGTAAGTTGAAAATACAACAAATTTCATGCTAGAAGTTGTGTAGATTAAATTCATAAATTTTAAATTTTAAATCAATGTCTAACAGTAGTAATAAAACATAAGGATCAGCTTGAATAATTGACCAGCATTAATTTGATTGATATAGTGTGTATTAAATCCCACATGCATTGATCAGATTTCAGAACATAAGTTTTGAATAAGAACCACACATCAATATTTTCAAGTTATTATTATATATATATTTAAAGTCTCTATAGTTTTATCTTTCTCAGACTTCACATGTGAGTTGACATTATTTTCGTTGCAACAAATAGTAGGTTTGATTTGATGCACTTGAACAATAAGTCGAAGGTCTTTCGAATATAGTCTATCTACCTTCACGAGGTAAGAGTAAGGTATATGTACCTCTACCTTCATCAAACTTCACTTATAAGATCAATACACTAGATATGTTGTTGCAACAAATAGCAGATTTAAATTAATAATTTCAAAAATACAACGACTTCAATGCTTTTTAAGAACCTTAAAGATAAACCAACAGAGTTTACATTTTAAATTCGTCTCCGAACACGGTAAAAATCTAGAAGGATAAGCTTGAATAACAGATTGAACAACATTAATGTGACTAATTGTGTGTCTATTAAATCCAGCTTCATTCAAAACATAAGCCCATTCTTTTGTAGTTCTCTCTTTTCCATTGCTTGTGTGAGCCATCATCACCATATCCAACATTAAACCAACATCTTTGAGCTTCTTATTATTTGATCCTCTTATAATATTTTCTTCTTTTTCACCAATTATTGCTTCCAATATTTTCACTTTCCCATTATCTTGTGGAATTGCTTCTCTACACTTTGTTAATATTTGTATGCATTCTTCATCACTCCAATCATGTAAAACCCACTAATATACATAACATTTACAACAATATACATGAGGTTATGAAAATTAACAACAAAAATGAATATAAGAAAATAATTTCTTAATAAATTAAAAATAAGTAGATTTTCTGATAAATTCCGTCAAATATTAACTTGTACGAAATATTTACGATCGACTTTCGATTAAAAATCTGAGTGAAATCTTTTGGAAACAGTCTCTCTACCTTCACGAGCTATGAGTAAGGTATGTGTACACTTTACCCTCCTTAGACCCTAGCTATGGAATTGGAGAGGGTTTGTTATTGTTGTTGTTGTTTGTTGTTTCAATCAAAAATGTCTTTAACGGTGAGATTTTCATCAGAAATTTATAGAAATAGAGATAATTTCCCACCAATTCAATTACTTCAACATATATACATGAAGTTATGCAAAAATACAATTTAACTAAAATAAAACGATATTGAATAGGAAAGGTGGGACCTACATATTTTTTAATTTAAAATAATGCCTCACATATCAAGTCATATTTGTGCCTCTTCCACCATAAAATTTGTTTATGTTTTGTATCTAATTCTTTTGTTCAACCTGTTATACTTCTTGAAATTTAACTACTACATTTATTATTTTAACTACAAAATATATTAGAGGTACAACCTTCTTTTTTTAAAAAAAAATATTTAGTTGACTCTTAAAATTTCATCATTGTCATATGAATTGGAACAAATGAAATAATATATATTATTATTAAAATTACATAAAAAATGTTATAAATCACAATAATTAACAATTGAAAATATTATAAGAAATTTGGTTGACTAATTGAAATAGAAGAAGTAACATATATTATTTGAAAATAACGTCAAAAGTTCTAGAATTCGCAGTAAATTAACAACTGAAAATATTTATGATTATTCACGTGAATTGGAACAGAAGTAACATATATTATTTAAAAAATTACACAAAAAATACTATAAATCACAACAAATTAATAAATTAATAACTTCAAATATATTTTTAAA